AGGAGGAGGAGGAGGAGGAGGAGGAAGGACCCCAGGAAGAAGCTCAACCAGCACCTTCCTGCACACATTTCTGTTCAAGCAGTGAGTCTCCGCTGAAAAGGTCTGATGAAGATCAACAATTCAGCGTATTCTTCTCATATCCCTGTGTCGGATTCAGGTTTGGTGACATGAAAGTTCAAGTTTCAACTTCAGCTTGTTTTGTCCCGTTTCTTTTTTTTTTTCTGCTCCAAACAACAAACAAGCAAGCAGAAAGCTTTAAAACGTTTTTCCACGTGTTGTTCTGGACATTTATATTTGATCCCAAAGAGACCAGTTCTAATTAACAAGACAAACTGTTCACACAGCCTGAAATATCCATGATTTCTGAGTGACTCTCAGCTACTACCACGCCAATGTAGCTCAGTCTGTGTAAAAACAATCATCTTACTGCAAACTGATTTTGTTTTGCTGTGTCGGCCATTTTGAAATGGGTTAAATCCTCAGGTTAATGATTATAGCTGTTTATTAGTTTAGTGCTGACAATAATTAATAAACAAGCTGCAGATTTTTTATTTTTTTGGATTAGATTTACAGAAGATATTAAAATCCCAGTTAAAAAACATGCTAAATAACTGATTTAGTTTGCTCATTTGTTCATATCCCAGAGTGAGCAGCAAGGTGAATTTGAAAGCAAATTAAAGATAAAAATCTTTTTATGTGTTTCCTTGACAGATTTTTCACAGAAGACCAAAATAAAATGATAAAGCTGAGTATTATTCTGCAGAAAAGATAAGCTTCAGGCTCGAACACGAGTTCTTTATATTAATGCAAATAATAAGATTTTATCAAGAAAACATTAAAGGTAATCTTCCCCTGAGAACAAGCATTAAACAACACAGCTCTGCGTGGTTAAACTTCAGTTTACAGTTAGTACTTCTTGGGAAAATGTTCAGATGTAGAGGAAGTGTTTTTTTCCCCAGCAGGTCAGCTCAACCGAAAACTCATTAACATTCCAGTCCGGCGCTGCTCTCAGACCAGCAGATTCATAAATGACTCCGACTCACTTGTTGACAGATGCAGATAAACTTGCCCATTGTGTGAGAACAGTTCCTGAATGTTATTTGATTTGACTGTTTCGGAGCCAGAGACGAGGAAAACAACTTGCAGGAGGACCAAAACATCATAATAAGCTGTTTTTTTGTGTGTGTGTGGTGTGTCGGGCCACCAACATTTTCCTTTCCTCTGTTTCTAGAAAAGGGGGGACTTCTGTTTTCTTCCACTAAAAACAAGTGGTCCACTAAAAGTGGAAGAAACATCAGGGTCCTGTTTGTTTGCGAGCTGCAGGCGGTTGTTAAGTTTTGGCCTCTCGGTGCCAGCTCAGAAGTCCCCCCCGACCACTCGCTTGTGTCTTTCATCTCTCTCAGACCCTGTCATTTGTACACTTCTTCCACCGCGTGCTCCAACACTTCCCCTTCTCTCTGTCTCTGCCGTTGTTTTCTTTCTCGGCCCGAGCAGCGTTCCACTCTTTGTGTGGAGGTACAGCGTGCCTGTGACGCACTTCCTTCCATTGTATCAGGAACTGATACCTTCACGCTGCTGCAGCTTACTGTTAGAAGTCACTTGAGCGTGTTGATTGGAAGGTTCTGTTAACTCCGGACAGGTAATCCACCTGATTTAACAGAACCATGAGGTATCTTGCAAAAGACTGCTTCCTGTTTGACAGGAAATGCATTTTTTTTTATGTTTCACGTCATTTCTCGACTGACGTGTGTTCGACGCTGCTTTTCTTTTGCCACTCAAATCAGCCAGTTGAAGATTTATGACAAG